CTAGCCATAGTCATTATGAATACAGGATGCATATTGCATACTGGATTCCTTTGTATTAAATTGAATACCTTTACGTTATTTTGAATCCCTTTGTATTAGTGATATTGCATGTATGCATCCCTTTGATCATACATATGCGTCCCTTTATTCATTCATATGCATCCCTTTGTAGTAGTATCTTTCAGCCTGTACCCTGGGTCCAAAATCCCTCACATTTGTCTATATAAGGAGGCCTCTGCCTGCCAGTTGTTCCCTCCATCATCCCACCAGGGGTCCATCATCCCACCAGTGGACCAGATCATCTCAACCACCCTTATAAATAAATACATCTTATATATTATTTCATAACTACAAGTCATAGCCACATTACAATTTCAGAATTATATACATTGAAATACAGATTTAACACTTTCATCAACATCATAAACCAAAAGTGCCCTGACCCACATTCAACAACAACAACTTCATCAATATAACCAACTGTCAATAACATCTTTATACCCTCACACATATCAATCGGCAGCTTCATCTCGAACTTATCCCTATCACTATATATAAAATTGCCAAGCTAAGCTTGGTGGTCTTGTTATTCTGATAGTATAGAAGGGCAGAGCTTGCAACTCCAACATACCCTTCTCCATTCAGCAAAAGGGTTTTCATAACCACTTTTGAGTCTTACACCGCGCGGATATCCGGATGCGAATCGCCCATCTCTAGTTTAGTACAATTAGAGGGGCAGGTCTTTCAAACCACCCGTAAGTTGTAATAGCCTTTCAACCTATTTGCAATTTATTTCCCCCTCAAGGGATCTTTTGATATACATATACTTTACCTTGTCTATCCGTCCCAGGAGTCCTACACCGTGTGTGCTGCGCAGCTGCAAAACTGTGTCAAAATGCGGAAAAACCACGTTTTTTTCATTAAGGCATTAAATATGGAGGCACTGACGTGCCACAATAGCCAAAAAAAATCAAAATATGGTGATATACCGCCACTTTGGCCAAGTAACCGCCAAATATTGCTCCTGTACCGCCAGAGTGGCCAAATTAAAAAATGATCTGAACTGCCATGTTGGCCACTCACGCCCCTGAGCCGCCATCATTGCCCCTGAGCCGCCATGCATGGCACTGAAGATCCACATTAGCCAAAAAAGTTCATAACCAAAAAACAGGTGCCTACGAAACGACATTTCAGCCAGAAGAATACAAGTGTACAGTCTCAATGTGTGATGGCAACCTTCCACCAACATGTATTTGAGTACATCCATACAATCACCCAGACCCAGACCCACACATCGCCCACAAATAATTTTTTCATCCAAGTATCGGCCATTCCCCACCTGCCAATACCATCAAAGAGCACCAGGGCCTGGCATCCACCCACCATCCACACACACACTCCCAAAGTAAGTCTCATTGATTTCATCGCCCCAAAGTCACCCCCCAACTTATCCTTTATCTTGCCCAAGGGTCAAACATGTTTTGTTCGCAGTGTGGGAAACCAGGGCAACTGGTTTTATTGGGATGCTGTCAAGCCTGTGTCGATCGTGCCGCAAGCAAGACAACCGCTCCCTCGTCTATGATTTCCCCGACACCCAATTCTCAACCAACGTCAGCACACCAACTGATCCAATCTAAACGTCAAGAGGCAATCCAACGTGCTCGAGGCTTGTATTCCCATCCAACATCCACCCCGGTCATTCCCAGCCCCCTCAGTCAGCCTCCTGCACCCACTTTGCTTCCGCAACAAACACACTTTCCTCCACCCAGTGCCAGCAATCCAGGTGTGTGTGACTTTGTTTACCAATAATGTGATCCTACAACAACTAACCACCCTCTCCGCGACTTCATCTGATGTTCAGGATTACCAGCCATTACCGCCCCTGAAATATCCAGGAGCAACCCATATCTGATGGCCCGCACAGCACGGATGTCGGCCATCCAACCCTACCCCACCCAACGGGCCGCCCGCACTGCTGCAAGAGTTCCCAAACCGCCAAAACTTCCTACCAGCAAGGGGGCTCTCCCATTAACTAGCCCTCCCGACAAGATCTCAGTCCAGTGTGGTTTCGAGATGTGGTACAGAAGCAAATGGACCCAGCAGCAAGGTGTCTTACGGACCAACCATTTCGTCAACTGGGCCGACCCCTCCTCTTTCACGAGCTTGCTTACCACACTTTGCAATAAATTCTGTGATCTCGTCGAACTCAAGACCAAAATCACGGACGAGAGGGCAATGTTTGCCAAAGAACATTTTGATTTCTGTCGGTTAGGCTCACGGAAAGGGGGGTCGGTTGAAGATTATGACTCATTTGTCGACTTTCTTAAGCGGGAGAAAGTCATTGATCTTATATACGACCAGGATGCTTTTGAAAAATTTTCACTAGATGAAGAGGAGCGACTAGGAATGGAAGCCGAATCAGCCCGCCACAAACTCCGATCCAGCCAATCTCGTCCGTCCACCAATAGGTCGCCGACTCCTGAGAGCGAGATGTCTTACTCTAGTCTCCCATCACCCAAAACAGTTGTAACCCGCTCAACATCCATAGTTACACGTTCGGCCTCTGCCGTGTCCTCTCAGATGTTCACGATGGACGACTCTACCAAACAACTCAGTCAGAATATTCCTGGCCCACTCACTCAGAATAAGGTGATACCCACTGCGGTCAATCTATCACCTCCCGACATACCACTTCCAAACCCACCTTGTTCAATGGCTAAAGAGATGAAGGAAGAGGATGGCATCGTTGTGATCCGGGTCACTCCACCTTGTAAGTTTTTTCCTTAAGACAATATCTCTCGGTGAGGCTGGCTGACATTGAGTGACTAGGGCGAGCTGAGGCAATCCTGAATCCAAATGATCTCTCATGGGACCGCTTTGGGACGTTGGAAACCTCATATTGGGACCGAGGTTCCGATGACTCTGACTGGGTGGATGGTGTTCGGTACCACCTGGAAGCGGATGGGTTGATCATGGTCCAGAGAATTTGTCTTTACCGGGTGGATTACAAAAAATGCTTCAAACTCAAGCCTGGATCTAAGGTCATTGCGGCGGAGATTCTCAATTCTGGGACCGTATTCCAAATGGTGGCCGAGTACGAACTTCAAAAGAAGGACTTGTCAAAAGAAAGCTATTCTATATGGCCCAACTGCGTAATGCGCTCATACGCTGCCGCCAGGCAATTTTTGGCCCAGTTTGCCCACGCTGTCAAATCGTCTGATGACTGCAGCACCTCTCAAAGGCAATTGGCAGCAAAGCTTAGGGTAAGATTTCATCCTTTTTTATTTGATGCATCATGATACCAATTTTGAATTCTCTCGGTAGATTGTTGATAACTTTCCAGTCCATCATGACTTCATGAATCGTGGAAGATCTGGTGACCCTTATGTCGAAGGGCAAGACGACGATATGTTACCTGCACAAGAAGACACACCTGAATCATACTACGTAGATTGTCAGCCACAGAGTACATGTCACAGTACCTTTCATGTACCAAGTAACTGCAACACCTGTACTTATGTACATAAGTACTTATCCATAATGTTGATTACCTTTACCTCTTGTTATCTTATTATTATCATTAACTTATCTTATCTTATTTATCTTACATTTATCTTATCTGTTAATTACTTATCTATTTAAATACATACCTGTGTTCTACATAAGTAATTATCACTTACCTTTCACTCCCTTGTCCGTGAAATACCTGTACCACAAGTTATCCCTCTGCTACAGTATTTTCACGGTCAAATATTATTACAAATAAATATGTACATGTATTAAATAGTAAGTATTAAGTGTCAATAGAATTAATACATTCAATACATGCACAGATCACAATTATGACTACATTATTAGAGGATCTGTTAAGTACACATCAAGAGCAACTAGTACATTGATCAACTAGTACACAATTATGATGTCACTTACAGATCATGACAAATAATGATCAGTCACTCAATTGATGTGCTCATTCTCCTGGCCAAAGCTCCCTTGATTCTGAGCGCTCATTCTTTCCCCCCTTCAGTATTCTGGAACTTATAATCCGTGCCACTTCCACTGATTAATCCCCAGAATATTCAGACACCAGTTAAACCAGTTAACATTTATATTGATACAGTACCCGTAACCAACATAAATCTTGTCTACATTTATTGTTCTTAAGCTTCAGTACTCTTACTCAACTTATCCACAGTATTCATAGCCTTGCTGAATATTCCCATCAACAATACCTGTTAATCTTCAACTAATTTTGTTAAAGCTTAATAAGTATTGTTAGCCCATTCCCTTTGGGGAATAACCAAATCAATCCCAGGTGAGTCTTAGTACCCTGGATGCCTATTAATACCTTGTATTGATCCGGATGCGCTGTTGATAGCAAGCCTCTCAGTAAAGACCATACTGATAGAGTGAAACCTCCTCTTTACAGGACTGGTATTAATCACCCACTACCTAACACTCACCACGCTCAAAAACTTCAGTCAACTCATAGTAACAACCTTTTTACTATTAAATACTCAGGTTAGTTACCCAGAGGCTGACATAGATGGTCCCCACGATCCGGAAGAAGAGCCATCCCGCGTCTTTATAATGGAAGAGCATATCGAAGGTTATTCGACCCTTTTGTCCGCCACCACAAAAGACTACTATATCAGTAACCACTCCAAGACCATCGACTTGTTGCTACACTCTTTTCAACACTGGGTCTATGCGCACACAAAAGGTCAGATGACGATTACCAACTTCAAGGGAAATCCTCCGCTAATAGCTAAACCACAAATTGTGGATTTGAACAAAAAGTATGGAAATTTCTAATCTCCTCTGTGAATATCATCAATTTACCTGACACATCATGAATGTCAGTTCTTATTGGCATCTCCCTGATAAATCATCACAAATGATCACGGATTTCATTCAAAAACACACCTGCACTAAAGTGTGTAAATCCCTCTCCCTCCCTGAACTGTGCCGGATTGCGTGGCCTCAGCCAACTCATCAAGATGGACGCAATTCACACCCAAACCCAACTGCCGGGACTAGCCGGAAACCCCATGGTATTGTGGAACAGGACATGGAGCTGATTTCGGTTGTGAGGAAAGGAAAAACCGCTCTTAAGGCTCGTCTAGAATGAATGGAAAATTGTATGTGTATATAGATTCCTGTTGGTCAGTGGTGCCGGGTTGATGAGGGAGTCTCAGCCTTGGTCGATGAAGGCCTCATCACCCAAGTAGATCACATGTCTCATTGCACAGTAAATGTCTTCACATATAAACACAGTTCATTAACTATGATAATCAGTGATATAATAATCAAGAAACTTTGTCAATTTATTGGAACTTTATTGCTAGTCCAATTGCAAATCATCGTTAACTATAGCATCATCAATGCATATGGGTTGCAGGCCTTGGTCGATGAAGCCCTCATCCCCCAAGGTTTTAATTTGTCAACGTCAGATGGTTCAATGACTGGCTGACACTCATGGGTTAAGTTTCTGAGTGAACTACATAGACATTCATCCACTGAGTTTATTATGATACTTGCCTCATTGCAAATGAACTTTATTGGCGGTTCAATCTGTAATATATCGTTTGTGCAGGCCTTGGGAGATGAAGGCCTCATCCCCCAAGATCTGAACTGTGTAGGCTGGGTTTTCATCGAACCTCCATGACCCTCAATGAAAATGGGGGTCTAGATAGACGTTTGTCTAACAGCCCCCTCTGGCTACCCTCAAGTGCTCCTTTTTCCCGAGATTTACGTTCAGCTACCTTCTCCTGCACTTGTTCAACACTCGCAGCGGCCCTCTCCAGCTATCGATCGACCAATCCGCCAATCTATTCCTCATCTACACACCCAGCTACCCTCACAGCCCCCTCTAGCTACCAACAATCGCCAAAGTCCTCAGCTACCCATCTACACTCCCAGGTACCCTTCACAAACGATCTTTTGACGCGACAACTCCTCTCTTCCTCATCTACACACTCCCAGCTACCCTTCTCAAACGCTGACGACCCCCCCTCTTTCTGGTTGTGTAGGGTAGCAAACCACCGGAACTCGTTCCAATTTCAGGGTCAGTGGACGGCCGACTTCGTCGGCTGTTCTTTTCTGGTTTTGATCTCTTCTGGCCTCTGCGATGGTAGTGGCTCAGAGGAGGAGGGGGCCTCAAGCTGACGACCCCCCCCCCTCTTTCTGGTTGTGTAGGACCGCAATCGACCGGGACGATCGTTTGGATCGCTCCGACTACAGGTGAGTGAGCGGCCGACTTCGTCGGCCGTTCTGTTCTGATTTAGTTCTCTTTCTGGG